GATATTTGGACAGCATTTGAATCCCTATATCCTAGACCAGTGGTCTCTGAACTCTTTTGATCATGCACCCCTATCATTAAAAATATTTTGAGCACGCACCCCCTGCCATGCCGGCTCTACCATTTTTGCCAAAGCAAAAAAGAAAAAGAAAAAAAAAAGCCACTCCGACTCCCATCCAAACTGCCGAAGCAAAAAACAACAACAAAAAATGCTCCTCCTGCCGCGCACCCCCAAGGATCCTCTTTGGAGACCACTGTCCTAGACAGCAGAAGCCACCTTTATTATAAGACCGTATCCTGCTTTGAAGCATATTAACAAATTAATCATTTTTAACACACACACACATCCACACACACCACTTCCATAAAAGCATTTGAAATCTATTACCAACCTCCTGAACGTCATGGGTGGATTTCAGGTAGAACATACCAATTAGATACCATATGTCTCTATTCAGGAACAAGCTGCTGTTGTGAAACTGAGTGGCAAGAAACAGGGTTCTAGGTCTTGTTGGATACCTGGAATACTCCAGGAAAAAGGCAAAGGAATATCGAGTACTGAATCTGTTTCCTGATAAACTCTCCCTTTTCTTTAGTGTTTTTGTCTCTCTTCAACATTCAAATGAAAAAATGTATCATACAAAATAAATCTTTAATGCAATATAGCCTAATTGCCCAGCAAACAGATTTGGCTATCCTGCCCCCCCAATTTTTAAAAGTGAATGTAGGGTTCCAGATAATATCATCTGCCTGTAGCATTCTCTATTTATAACAAAACCAAACAAGCCCCCACAGATGTGTTATAAGTGCTGCCAATACAAGTTTTCCCACATGGCAATGTCATTGTGCATGGAAAGATCACTCCCGGACAAGGATAAAGTTCAGTCTCCATGTCCAGTCTAAACCAACTGCCAAAAAGGAGGGCAGTTGTGATTCTTCCTGTCCCTTCCTCTCCCCCGCAACATGGGCAACTCTTTACTAGGAACTGGACTGAGACCACTGATTAATTTCAAACAAGGAACCAAACAACATCAAGGCAGACTTTGAGAGGACTTAAGATTTAATGCTTTCCATAGTGACAAGTAACTACAGTCTTATTTACTGAATCACAAAATGGAATAATACGTTATCAATCAAAGCTAGCACTGCATGTTACTAGTAAATTCCAAATCTAGATTTATCCTTCCATAAACAGAACTAAAATTCTTTGCAGATATAAAGACTTTCAAACAGATATAAATAGAACTATCTAGGAAAGTCGTAGGGCATTTATATACAAAAAGTTTGACCATTAAGACAATGAAAAGCTAAGCAGAAATAGCACACTATGATTTTATGTTATTACAAAATGGTAACCCCATAGCTGTGTATCACAATAATTACCATAATAATATTACCAGCTTGATAAAAAAAACTCAAGATGGGAAACTTGGAAGAAGCAGAGACTTTGGAATATACATATTCCAGTTCTAGGAAAGTGCACACCATTTGGATACGTCAGGATTAGAGTTAGTGGAATCACATCTTTATACCCTATATAGGGTTAGGTCAAAATGTATTAAGGAGGGTGTAACTGTTCTATTTTTTACAAAGTCTGTTAAAACTGTTGGCACCTCAAACAAGTTACACTTACTTCACATTACTTCTTTGGCCTAGTAAACACTGATTTCACCACTCACTCAGGCCAGGTCTACACTATAAACTTACAACAGTATAACTACATCGTTCAGGGGTATGAAATATCCACAGCCCTGAGCGACGGTTACACTGACCTAACCCCCGCTGTAGACAGCACTATGCCGACAGGAGGGCTTCTCCCATCAAAATATCTACCACCTCTCACAGAGGTGGATTAACTACACCAATGGAAGAAGCTCTCCCATCGGCACAGTAGCATCTTCACTGAAGAGCTACACTGTTTTAGGCGTAGACCTGTCCTCAGACTGACTGCTGTTGAGTCTTTCTCCCTTTCTGCCCTTCCAAAATACTCTCCATAGTTCAGAATTGCCCTTTTACTTCTAGTGCTGTGTGTGTCTGAATCTCTTGTCATACTTCCACTCTTCAAGACCTCCTTCTACACATGCATCTGAAGAAGTGGGATTTTTACCCATGAAAGCTTATGCCCAAATAAATCTGTTAGTCTTTAAAGTGCCGCCGGACTCCTTGTTGTTTTTATGGATACAGACTAACACAGCTATCCCTCTGAAACCTTCTAAACCAGTCTTTAATTTGAGTTTGGGAACCACTGGCCTCATCCTCTTACCCCAGTTTAATTTCAACAGAGTTTCTCCTGTTTTACACCAACATGGTGGGAGAACCAAGTCCCATGTTTAGAAAAAGTACATTTAACTAATTTTTAACATAGCCTACATCTATACAGTAGCTAGCAAAACTAGAACACATTTGAAAACATTATTCTTGCATTCCATGACCTCATCCATGCTGATAAGCCCATGCATGCAAGAAATTAATTTAACTGGAATAATGCTTATACCTGTACTTGATTAAAACTCTGTCCTTCCACCTGTAAGCCAAAATTGCATCTAAAACCCTTTTTACTCTAATTCAATACTAACGTGTCCTGTGATGCATAATATTCTAAAAAAAGAGAACTGTACTAACACAAACACACCCGATAGTTAGTTAAAACAATATCCAGTTTCAGTGTGTTTTAAGTAACCTTGGCAGAATTCATTTTTTTTTATAAATTTGATAAATAATATCAATGTTCATTTTAAAGCTTTTTAAAAGATTTTTATTGACTCAAATTTTCACAAAATTATGAGGGAAATTATGGGGGATGTTAGACATTTATTTAATGACAGTAGACGTTGAGATTCAAAAAAGTAAACCTTTGTAAACTGTTAAAACATTGTCAACATCATGTCAAAATACATAAAGTAAATATCCTTAAATCTACAAGTCATACCTGATTTTACTATTCATTCATTAGTCCATTTGTAACAAGCCTAATTCAGAAGTTTAAATCACTGGATTTTTACTCTAATAAGTTCTCAAGCAGCATTTTTCTTATTTTGCCTATCTGTAAATTTCAATTATTATTGATGGAAATATTTTGTCAGTTTGTGCATGCATGGCAATATCAACATGTATCAATAAAAACTGAATCCTTCCAAGCCTTGTTTTAAAGGAAAGGTCTGAGAAGGGGTGGTCAGTGACCTGATGTTGAAAATGTTCTTTTGAAAGTAAATTTTGTGAATATTTGTAGTCAGCCATGGGAATAAGAATTCAGAGAACTTCTTCCTGTGACTAACCAGGAAGCATACTGAAGCAAGAAACAGCAGTTATTTCTCCCAGCCAATAAAGCATAAAATTCAGACTTAACATAAGGTAAAATTCAACTGCAGCCAGTGGAGTTGCACTGACTTATACCAGACCTACATTTGGGACACTGCACTTTAATACAACTTTCCAATTATTTTTTTAAAACTCTCAAAAACGCAAGTTGTATATCTTTTGACACACATACAGAATGATTTGGTATTTTATTCTGTAATATGGACAAAATATTTCAAATTAGAATCTGTTCTGATAAACTTGTTTATGAAAAATGGCTGCCACAAATTGACCCACAGGATCTTTTTGAATATTCTGATAAGTACAATTTCCATTTCATAATTTCTATAATTAAACTCAATTTCATTTAAAAACATGTTTCTAAAATAATTTGTTTTCATATTTAGGAGGTAAGTGAAAGGCTAGAAAGACAACGTGTACATGTGAACCACTATCTCAATTAAAAATACATACATAAGACTGGACTGGAATTTTTTTTCTAAATTTTAGATGTCAACCATGCACATGTCCCAGATCACATGGAAAACTGATGAGAAGTAATATTGAACAAAAAAGTTAAATTTTAAGAACTTGCTCTAAATACTAAGAAATACTACAAGACTTACTACAGTACATAGAAATTCTTCTAACAAACTGAGATTTTAGGATTTTATTTATAAAATTAAACAGTATATGAAATGCAGTTCTAGTTTACACTAAGTGAAATACACATCCCAGAAAAATCTTTGGAATACAGAATACTCAGCTCTTAAAAAAAAAAAAAAAAAAAAAAAAAAAGCTCAGTGTTACCATTTTACCCAGAATTTAGAAAAGCAAAGGCACAGAAAACATTGAATTAAGATTGATTAGACAACGCAGTGAACATATTTTTGGTCCAAAACTGAGTCTTCCCTCTTAGAAATGTTTTTATTCCTCACATTTGCTTTTAACACTTTCAAAAATATCACTATGAAGCCAGATAGCCCTACTAAACACAAATTGCCCCAGACAAATCAATTCCTATTTTTAAATAAAAATATTTTATTGTCCAGCTGAGAACATAAGGACAAAACAGAACCAAAATAAACACTGCTAACAAAACCACACAAATTATAAAAGCAAATCCCAATTCTACCTCGACAACAAGGAAGTTAAAAACAGTGGTATATTGCACCTGAGGTGATGTGTGTAGCAGGCAGATCTGTCTCCCAGCTCCTCCTGCTATTCCCCCCACCCCACCTCCTGCCTTAGTCTGATCCTAGAACATGATTACATACCTCCCCCAAAAACCTCCTCCCAACCCAGGGGTAATGTATCCCTTTACTTCGCGTGAGCCACTTTGCTGGGCTCCAGTAAGAGAATTACAACCCCCTGCCCTAACCCTGACCCCCTAGCTGAACTGAACAGGGGCCCAGACTTGTTGGGCCTGAAGGGGCAATTCTGGGGCCTAACTAAGTTCCTAGGGCTCAAGTGGCCTGTTTCTCACGGGGGGAGGAGGCATAAACACTGGTGAGGCCTGGTCCAAAATCAACGCCAGCCCACCCCCAAGCCATTTTCTGCCTCCCCTGGCCCCCAAAGGGAATGGGGAGCCAAACTCGTCCTGTCACTGCCTCCTGAGAAGGCAGCCTCTCAGAGCGGCTGAGGCAGGGACACGCACAGAGGGGGCCCCCGCGCCAGAGAACCCCATCGCCCCCCAGACCTCACCAGGTCATAGTCCTCTTCATCATCGCACATGAAATCATCCTCCATGTCAGACATCTTGGCCGGAGGACGGGAGGGGAAGGAGGGGGCAGGGGGAGGGCCGCAAGACCGGAGCCAGCCCCCTTCTCCCACAAGCCTCCGCGGCTTCTGCCCAATGTGACTCCGCTCAGCTAGGAACCGAAATTTCGTTCTCCCCCGCTAGCCCCGCCCGTGGAGACACGGAGCCGAATAGCGGGTGCACCGCGCTTCAGTCCCGAGACCGGCTGCCGGGCCCTTAGCAACCGGCTGCCGGGCCCTTAGCAACCGGCTGCCGGGCAGCGAGTTGGGCCTGGCCTTTCTCGGCACCGCTCCCCTTAAACCCCGCGCCGGAAATCCCAAGGGCCCGCAGGGACAGCCTCGCTTCCCCACTAAAAAGCTGTAGGGCCCATGGGGCAGCAGCACTATCCCCCCGTACGCACTAAAGCAGTGGGGTACTAGGCCCTTAAGGGCAGCCTCGCTTCTCCCGTAGATCGGTAGGGCCCATAGGGGCAGCACTCTCCCCCAGTGCAATCAGGAGGAGCCTTAAGAAGAGGACTGCCCCCCTCCTTGTACATCAGTGGAGCCCGTAAAGACACTACTTCTCCCCCTGTTGCGTCACTGGATCACATCATTGGGGCCCCTCTTGGGGAGCACCGTTTCTCCAGAGACATGAACGGGGCCTTGCAACAGGGCTGTGCCAAATGTGCATGAATGTAGGACCATAAAACGCAGAAAAACTTGTTCTGGGGTCGGTTGTACTAGTTCTACATTGATATGTCATTGATTTTACTCGAGTTGCTCCTAATTTACATTGGGGTGAGAGCAGAATGAGACCCAGAGTTCCCATGCTCTAAACTACCTGCTATACACTGATGAGGCAAATCAACTACCCCAGACAGGGGATTCAAACTACTGCCCTGTTCAAAGTCTCTGAAAACAATAATAATGCAAAATGCCTTATGTATATTAATGGATTAATCAATAGTAAGAAGTTAATTCCTGTTCTTTTATTTTGTTTGCTTCTTATAGAATCATTGAACTGGAAGGAACATTGAGAGGTCATCTAGTTCTGTCCCCTGCACTCAAGGCAGGACTAAGTATTATCTAGACCATCCCTGACAGGTGTTTGTCCAACCTTCTCTTAAAAATCCCCAATGATGGAGATTCCACAACCTCCCTAGGCAATTTATTCCAGTGCTTAACCACTCTGACAGGAAGTTTTTCCTAATGTCCAACCTAAACCACCCTTGCTACAATTTAAGCCCATTGCTTCTTGTCCTATCCTCAGAGGTTAAGAAGAATAATTTTTCTCCCTCCTCCTTGTAACAAACTTTTATGTACTTGAAAACTGTTCTCATGTCCCCTCTCAGTCTTCTCTTCTCCAGACTAAACAAACCCAATTTTTTCAAGCGTCTCTCATAGGTCATGTTTTCTAGACCTTTCATCATTTTTGTTGCTCTTCTCTGGACTTTCTCCAATTTGTCTACATCTTTCCTGAAATGTGGCACCCAGAACTGGACACAATACTCCTTTGAGGCCTAATCAGCGCAGAGTAGAACGGAAGAATTACTTCTCGTGTCTTGCTTACAATACGCCTGCTTATACATCCCAGAATGATGTTTGCTTTTTTTGCAACAGTGTTACACTGTTGACTCATATTTAGCTTTTGATCCACTATGACCCCCAGATCCCTTTCTGCAGTACTTCCTAGGCAGTCATTTTCCATTTTGGATGTGTGCAACTGATTGTTCCTTCCTAAGTGGAGTACTTTGTATTTATCCTTATTGAATTTCATCCTATTTACTTCAGACCATTTCTCCAGTTTGTCCAGATCATTTTTAATTGTAATCCTATCCTCCAAAGCACTTGCAACCCCTCCCAGCCTGGTGTTGTCCGCAAACTTTATAAGTGTACTCTCTATGCCATTATCTAAATCATTGATGAAGATATTGAACAGAACTGGACCCAGAACCAATCCCTGCGGGACCCCACTCATTATGCCCTTCCAGCATGACTGTGAACCACTGATAACTACTCTCTGGGAACGATTTTTCAACAGTTATGCACCCACCTTATAGTAGCTCCATCTAGGTTGTATTTCTCTAGTTTGTTTATGAGCAGGTCATGCGAGACAGTATCAAAAGCCTTACTAAAGTCAAGATATACCACATCTACCGCTTCCCCACATCCACAAGGCTCGTTCCCCTGACAAAGAAAGCTATTAGGTTGGTTGGACACGATTTGTTCTTGACAAATCCATGCTGACTTTATTTATCACCTTATTATCTAGGGCAGTGGCTCCCAAACTTGTTCCACTGCTTGTTTAGGGAAAGCCCCTGGCGGGCCGGGCCGGTTTGTTTATCTGCCGCGTCCGCAGGTTCGGCTGATCGCGGCTCCCAGTGGCCGTGGTTCGCTGCTCCAGGCCAGTGGAGCTGCTGGAAGCGGTGGCCAGTACGTCCCTCGGCCCATGCCGCTTCCAGCAGCTCCCATTGGCCTGGAGCGGCGAACCGCAGCCACTGGGAGCCGCAATTGGCCGAACCTGCGGACGCGGCAGGTAAACAAACCGTCCCGGCCTGCCAGGGGACTTTCCCTAAACAAGCAGCGGAACAAGTTTGGGAACCACTGTTCTAGGTGTTTGCAAATTGATTGCTTAATTATTTGCTCCATTTTCTTTCCGGATACAGAAGTTAAACTGACTGGTCTGTAATTCCATGAGTTGTCCTTATTTCCCTTTTTATCGATGGGCACTATATTTGCCCTTTTCCAGTCTTCTGGAATGTCTCCCGTCTTCCATGACTTTCCAAAGATAATTGCTAATGGCTCAAATATCTCCTCAGTCAGCTTGTTGAGTATTCTAGGATGCATTTCATCAGGCCCTGGTGATTTAAAGACATCTAAATTGTCTAAGGTTATGTCTGCACTACCACGGTAAGTTGACCTACGCTACGCAACTCCAGCTACGTGAATAACATAGCTGGAGTCGACGTACCTTAAGTCGAGTTACCGCGGAGTCTACACCGCGGAGGGTCGATGGGAGAAAATCTCCTGTTGACTTACTCTTCTCGTTAGGGGTAGAGTACAGGGGTAGACTGGAGAGCGATCTGCAGTCGATTTGGTGGGTCTTTACTAGACCCGCTAAATCGACTGCCGGTGGATCAACATGTGGATCCCTGACATAGTGTAGACCTGCCCTAAGTAATTTTTGACTTGTTCTTAACCTATTTTAGACTCTGATCCTACCTCATTTTCGCTGGCATTCACTATGTTAGACGTCCACTCGCCACCAACCTTCTTGGTGAAAACTGAAACAAAGTCATTAAGCACCTCTGCTATTTCCACATTTTCTGTTATTGTCTTTCCCCCTTCATTCTGTCCTTGGTCTTCCTTTTGCTTCTAATGTATTTGTAGAATGTTTTGTTTTCTTGTTTCCTTTTATGTCCCTAGCTAGTTTGATCTCGTTTTGTGCCTTGGCTTTTCTAATTTTGTCCCTATGTACTTGTGTTATTTGTTTATATTCATCCTTTGTAATTTGACCGAGTTTCCACTTTTTGTAGGACTCTTTTTTGAGTTTTAGATCATTGAAGATCTCCTGGTTAAGTCAGGGTGGTCTCTTGCCATACTTCCTATCTTTCCTACGCAGTGGGATAGTTTGCTCTTGTGCCCTTAATAATGTCTCTTTGAAAAACAGTGAACTGTCTTCAATTGTTTTTCCCCTTAGACTTGCTTCCCATGGGATTTTACCTACCAACTCCCTGAGTTTGCTAAAGTCTGCCTTCTTGAAATCCATTTTAGTACCCTTCCTAGGCCCTGAGTTCTTTACACTTAATCTAAGCAAAGAATATTTCAGTAAAAGTTTTAAAATTCTATAACTCTTGAACCTTCTAAAGGTCAAGAAAACCGGGCCCTTCAAAAATGAACTTATTCACCAGGCTGGTTTGTTTAGGGGATTTATGTACCATCTAAGCATTCTCTGGGTGCTAGCTCAAAAAGGCAAGTTTGCACAAAATATATTAACCACTCAAGCTAATATGTATTTCCTTTATACAATGCCTTCCATCTGCTTGGGAAGGACCCTTATGGGCAATATATGTATAACACCACTGATCGGGAGACTCATCTTGGATAGAGGGCACAAGGATGTCAATGCTAATATCAGATTTAAAAGTATGGGAGGAAATTCATGGCACTGGTATAAAATTAGGTTTATGTCAAATAAATCTCATTATGGTTTTGGTCTATCTTTTGATGTTTTTCACTTTTAGTGGTAGTTGATTCCTTCATCCCCTCCACTTGAAAATTCAGCTAGAACCACACACAAAAACATGTGTATTATCCCCCCCTTTCCCCTGGATATCTCTTGGAGGAGTTCTTATTTTCCTTCTTCTTCCTGTCACCCTCTCTAGGCCTCTGCTGCAACTGCCCTCCTCCCCCATAATGCTTTCTTCTACTGACCAGGAAAGCAGACATTCTGCTAGTGCCTTTTCTGCCCCCTCCACACTATATTCTAAAAGCTAACTTATCATCCTTTATTGTTATTTGTTTTAATGGCAAGAGTGTACTAGATGATTCCTGGAGTGGTAGATCCAGGCAGCACCCTCCAATTCCCAACAGGACAGGTGGTTTGAAAACAGCAACTGCTTCCACGTAGCCACCAAGCAATACCAGCAGCCTTGCCAACTAGAGTCTATTTCCTCTTTGCGTGAATCAAGAGGAGGGAATAGACCTCAAAATGTATTTGACAAGTTGTAGTACAAAGTCAAACAAAGCACTAAATCACACATTTGTATCACAGTGTAAAGTGTATGATCTTTTGAAAGATTATTGCTGAAATACAGGTTAATATATTGACTTAATATAAGGTGAAGAACATTAGGAAGCATACAAAGGCTGTCCTTTAAAATAAAAGACAAATACCATGCTAATACATAATAGTGAGAAGAAGGGAAATTGTTTGATATGCCTGTATTGTGTATTTCATTATAATAACCCCATTCCCTTTTATATATGCTCTTCTTTACATAATTTACACCTCTTGACCAACAGATCTGTAGTCATATTTCCA